GCACAAGTCCATGTTTCTGCCTGTTAGCAAAATATATCATTAACTGTTATGAAGGGTTTTGATGAAACTCGCAGAAAACAATCATTGGCTGTACCACCACTAATCAACCTTAGCAACCACCAAAATTGTTACAAGTCAAGTCAATTTTGCATATTTTGAGCTAAAATATGGTGCGCTACTAGCAGAGAGTAATCTGGAACAAATACGCTTAGTGCCATCATGTCCCACAAAATCTTCATTTAAAATATTTGTGGCTTGCTTGTGGAAACCGTGAGAGTTCACCGTAATTTGATCTCTTTCTGTTGTGAGTGTCTTCATTAAAACTCTTAACACAAAGCCCTGGATGTTTCATTACTTCTTATATAGCAGCTGCTTCTTTTAAAGGATGAGCACACATTTACAAAAGCAACTTCCTCTTGTTGTCATGAGTGCTGTGAATTTAGACTGTTCCTCTGAGACCGAGAATAACGTCCGCTTTTCAAGCTGAAATGGACATCTATGTCAACGCACAATTGTAAATTGGGTGTATGATCTCATCCAGTTGTTCCTGCCAGCAGGCTAAAGAAAGCCATGGTGTTCCACATGTATGGCTGAGTACAGCCCTTACATGTACAAAAACCTGTAACCCCCCAGAACCGTGTTGCTTTAGAGCGTGTAATGTTGCAGACTTTAGATCCTCTTGTTTGTGATTCAGTGAGGAGGTCATGAGATAATGGTGGGTGTAAAGAAAATGGCTCACAGTGGGCTGCTTTTTAAAGCAAGTCATGGTTGGAGAGTAAAAAGCTGAATGTGTCACTGTGTTAAAAGTGCATGCAATAATTTTAAACTGAGCAACTTGAAAATATTTTACTTGAGTCAGGTGGGGAAGGAGGGAACTTAATGTTTGCAGATGTTGTGTTCTTTCTTGTTATATTAAAAAACGTGTCACTCGCCCAACTCTTCCACTTTGTGTTTTCACTTCACCTTAAACTTGGGTCCTCTACCAGAAGCCTGGGAGCTTGAGGGTTCTATTCACTATCTTAGATGTTTGTAGGACTGCACTCTTCTGGACAGAGATCTCTGAGGTTGTTCCTGGGATCTATTGGAGACGCTCTTCCAGTTTGGGGATCACAGCACCAAGTGCTCCAATACCCACTGGGATTACTGAGGCCTTGACTCTCCACAACTTCCTTATTTCCTCTTTCCTCCAGATTCTTGTACTCCTTCCTAATGTTACCGTCACTTAGGTTTTTTACTTCTGTCACCACTTCCTTCTTCTTTAGCTTGCCAATCTCCACAATGTGTAGTTGGTTAGCCATTACCTGTTTGTTGGTCTGGATCTATATATTTATGTTTGTTTATTTGTCATATGCAGGTTACCAAGGTCAACAATGCAATGAAATGTTCAGGATGAAAAGAACCGATATACCAAAAAGAACATACAGACCCTCCATCCATCCGTCCATCCATTTTCTTCTGCTTATCCGGGGTCGGGTCGCGGGGGTAGCAGCCTAAGTAGGGAGGCCCAGACTTCCCTCTCCCCAGCCACTTGGTCCAGCTCCTCTGGGGGAATCCTGAGGCGTTCCCAGGCCAGCCAAGAAACATAGTCCCTCCAGCGTGTCCTGGGTCTTCCTCTGGGCCTCCTCCCGGTGGTACGTGTCCGGAACACCTCACCAGGGAGGCGTCCAGGAGGCATCCTAAACAGATGCCCGAGCCACCTCAACTGGCTCCTCTCGACATGGAGAAGCAGCGGCTCTACTCTGAGTCTGTCCCGGATGATCGAGCTTCTCACCCTATCTCTAAGGGAGAGCCCAGACACCCTGCGGAGAAAACTCATTTCAGCCGCTTGTATCCGAGATCTCGTTCTTTCGGTCACAACCCAAAGCTCATGACCATAGATGAGAGTGGGAATGTAGATCGATCGGTAAATTGAGAGCTTCGCCTTTTGACTCAGCTCTCTCTTCACCACGACAGACCTGTACAGCGCCTGCTTCACTGCAGACGCTGCACCTATCCGCCTATCGATCTCACGCTCCATTTTTCCCTCATTCGTGAACAAGACCCCATGATACTTTAACTCCTCCACTTGGGGCAGGACCTCCTCCCTGACCCGGAGAGGGCACTCTACCCTTTTCCGGCTAAAGACCATGGCCTTGGATTTGAAGGAACTGATCCTCATCCCAGCCGCATCGCACTTGGCTGCGAACCACTCCAGCAAAAGCTGTAGATCATGATCTGATGAAGCCAATAGGACCACATAATCTGCAAAAAGCAGAGATGCAATCCTAAGGCCACCAAAATGGATCCCCTCAACACCTTGGCTGCACCTAGAAATTCTGTCCAAAAAAGTTATGAACAGAATCGGTGACAAAGGGCAACCTTGGCGGAGTCCAACTCTCACCGGGAACAAGCCCGACTTACTGCCGGCAATGCGGCATACATACAGACCCTTTCCCCAAAAAATTTGAGTATCATGGAAAAGTTGTTTTAACTTCCATAATTCCATTTGAAAAGTTAATCTTTAATAGATGCTAGATTCAGGGCCCACAATTTAAACAATTTCAAGTATTTATTTGTGTATTTTTACATAATTTAGGCTACCAGCTCACGAAACCCACGAAAACAGGATTAAAAAAAATTGAATACTGTGTATAAATCATCTCAAGTTTTGCAGGGCATGAATTTTTTAAACTGAGTGTGACACACTAAACATCTACTAAACTCAAAGCACCTGCACAGGTTTCCCCAGGTGTCATTAAATTGCTTCAGTTTGGTTCAATTGTCTCAGTTCGGTTCAATATGGGGACGACTGCAGACATAACAACTGGCCAGAAGACCATCATTGATACCCTCCATAGGATGGGTAAGCCACACAAGTTCATAGCTAAAGAGGCTGGCTGTTCACAGAGTGCTGTGTCCAAGCATATCAATGGAAAGTCTAGTGGAAGGGCAAAATGTGGCAGGAGAAGATGCACCAGCAAAAGAGATGATCGTGGACTTCATCAGATTATCAAACAGAGAAGATTCCAGAATCTGGCAGAGATCAAGAAAGAGTGGAAAGAGGCGGGAGTCACAACTTAAAAAACCACCACATTCAAATGCATCCGGGAGATGGGCTGCAACTGTCGGGTTCCTCTGTCTTCTTTTTCGATGAAAGTAAAGTGTGCCTTTCATTTGGAAATCAATGTCCAAGGGTTTGGAGGAAGAAGGGTGAGGAGCTGAGCCCATACTGCTTGAGGTCCAGTGTGAAATATCCACAGTCAGTAATGATTTGGGGTGCAATGTCCAGTGCAGGTGTTGGTAAACTCTGCTTTTTTAAATCCAAGGTCACTGCAACAGTCTACCAGAATGTTTTAGAGGACTTCATGATTACTTTTGCTGAGGATCTGTATGGAGATGCAAATTTCATCTTCCAGCAGGACCTGGCCCCTGCCCATGCTGCCAGAAGCACCAAAACCTGGTTTGATGCCCATGCCACAGTGCTCGACTGCCCAGCCAACTCGCCAGACCTAAACCCCATTGAGAATCTACAGGATATTCTCAAGAGGAAAAAGAGTGGCACCAGACCCAACAACAAAGAAGAGCTGATGGCAAGCATCAAGGAAATCTGGGCTTCCATAACTCCCAGGCAATGCCACAGGATGATTGCCTCAATGCCATGTCACATCGAGGCAGCGATTAAGGCAAAGGGATTCCCAACCAAGTATTGAAGATTGACATATTGTTTTGAAAGTACCATATTTTGATTGATTTGTTGTGATCCTAATTTATTTCTTTTTTTTTATTGCAAAAACTGAGTAGTATGGGCTGATGTCTTCACAGTATTCTAATTCTTTGAAATCCTGTTTTCATGGGTTTCATGAGCTGGAAGCCCAAATTATGTAAAAATAAACAAATAAATACTTTAAATTGCTTAAATTGTGGGCCCTGAATCTATCATCTATTAATGATTAACTTTTTGAATGGAATTATGGAAATTAAACAACTTTTCCATGAGATATTCAAATTTTTTGAAAAGGGTCTGTATACATATACATAGTTTAAGTTTGTTTATTTGTCATATGCAGGTTAACACAAGGTCAACAATGCAATGAAATGTCCAGGATGAGAAGAACTGATATACCAAATAGAACATACATATATATACTTTCTGGGACTTTCTGATCCCAAGTTGACTGCCTTACCTCCACCCCATCTCAGACCTCTATATGTGCATATATACAGTACCATAATTTCTGGCCTATAGAGCGCACCTGGCTATGAGCCGCGCACACTAAATTTAAAATAAAACACAATTTTGTACATAAATAAGCCGCAGGTGTCCACATTTTAATTTCAGAAACTGTATACAGCTCCTGATAGAATGTGCAGTGCTTGTTGAAGTGCAAGAATCAACCACCAGATGGTGTTTTATAGACCTTAGTTTGCTTTCAAACCCACACACAAACAGCTGATCCTCACAGGTCTTAATGGTAACACCCTTTCTGACTCATGGCTACTCTACTATATATGTAAACCTACAACCTACTGAAAGAACATACAAACTAGTCTAAGAAAAACAGACTACCGGTAATCACTGGAGAGAACAGTGCTGCTACCGCTAAATGTTTTTGGTGGCAGGAAGCTCGTTAGCTCATGAAAAAAAAGTACTGTAAATATTACTTAAAAAACATAAATTAGTATTTATATAGCATTGTATAAGCTGTGGTGTCCAAAAATTGTGAAAAAAGTAGCGGCTTATACACCAGAAATTACGGTATATACATATACTATATTCCTCACAGTGAAGTATTTTCGCTGATGTCAGACATACTTGTGCTGTGAGGAAACAAAGAAGGCATGTTATCTGACAATATGGTAAATTTCAGTTCCAAACTGTTGGAAAACGGACGCCTTCTTGATTTTGTTTTCCTCCAGGAAGCTAAAGGGAAACTGTTCTTATTGTAATATAGCTCGTTCTGTCCATTTTTGTCCTGCAGTATTGTAGTATTAACGCTTGTTGTTGCTGTTGTGCTTTTCAGGATCCTCAACAGCTTCAGAGTTTCCCAGTTTGCCCAGTAAATCCAGCCACTCCACCAGCTGTCCCTCCTCCGCTCACAGGGATTCTGGCAGCGATATAGACAGCTTCCTGAATGCAGAGCAGGGATTTGACAGCGTCTTCAGAAAGGTTTGTCTTAAAAAAAAAATCAATGCCAAGGTGAACAATGCATTTGCTCCCAAAAAATATAAAAATAAACCAGTCCAGTGTAGATTGCTGGTCCACATTTATTTGCCTCTTAAAAAAGATTAACAAAACAATATTTTCAAGTAATTGTATGAAGACTGTTCATAGATTGAGTTTAAAATGTCTTATTGCAGAGAGTCGGACATGTTCTAAAATCTTTAAATGAAAGGAAATGGATTTAACAGCATCGGTCTTCATGTTTTGCTGACTGCAGTTAAAACAACAGGTTCACTCATGTCAAACAGCAGGAATTTATTTTGTTTGCCAGTGCAACCACCCCTGTCGGGATTATATCATATGTATAACGTAGCTATTTTTCTCAGTCTGAACTTGGCTTTATTTATCAGCACCCTGAGGCTGAGATGCCAAACATCAACTAAGCATCTTTTAAAGCTGCCAGCTCGTTTCTGCTTCTGGGAAAGTGCAAGCTGGGGTCCCTGCTGCCTTTCTGCTGCAGTTGAAAGTCTGTGTGAAGCCAGGCATCCTTTGGTTTATTGTTTAAAATGCACATATTTCTGAGTGCTGTTTCTTTCGGCTGTGTTGAGCACTCGAAGCATGCTTGTAATATGATCCTCATGTCCTGCTTGTTGTGAACTGGGATGAACTAAGAAGCCGGTGGAGCAAATATCAACTAACAGCGGGTGTTATACTGGGTGGCTGAGGGTGAGAACTCAGTACGCAGGGAGTGATGGGAGAAATGTGGCTCTCATGCTTTGATTTCAAACAAAGGCCACAGAAGCTAAATTTTGAAAGAGGGGATTATCGCCTTTGCTGCTCTCTGAGGAGAAAATGTCTTTCTTATGGAAGCCCACAGTTCTGAAAGTGTAGAAAAAAGGGTAAAGAAAGTGTTTCAAACTAAATGTCATGACATCAAACTCTTTATCATGTGAGCGAAACATGCATCGTGTGTCTTTAGAGTAAGAATGCTCATTGTTTGTTTTATGTAAGGACCAAATCAAAATCCAAAAGCCAGAAATGTGAAATGTTAAAGCCTATGTGAATTGTTCTGAGGCCGAAATTCACTGCAGTCACGTGCACTCTCTTCTGCAAACTGCACACAGACCAGCTCACACGTTCCCTCACTCCCAGAGGAAGTTGTGTCTGCAGCACAAAGCAGAGCTTTCTTTCCCAGTCCTCCCAACAGAAGCAGCTCTATGCTCGCCGCTAACACTGCAGCTGGCAGCACAATAGGCCCAGTTAAAGCTCACACCTACAAATTTACTCTAAATGAACCTACCAAAACCTGTGTACCAGTGCCCAACTGTATTCCCATAGAGTGTACTTTTACAGATACAGTTTGTCTTCATAGTAGCTTACGTTCAAAACTTATCAAAAGGACATAAATTTGCTCAACTACACATTTAGCATTGTGCTAATCCTTTGCAAATATTCATATTAGTTTGAAAATGCAAAAAATGTTGTTGTTTTTTTTGCACATTGTATTTAACAAAGGACTTGACTTTGACAGTGTTTAAAAATGTGTGTGCCAGTCAGGAACATCTGTGAAAGCTTTGTTTCCACCATCATCTGTTGGTGTTTGTTATAATGTCAGCGTTGCTATAAAGTGGCTGCGGCTCGTTATCCTTAAGCCGTGCCATTTGGTCCTCATTATGTTCCATTCCTGTGGGTTAAATAGCTCTTCCAGCCTTCTCTGAATTCACGTCATGCTTCAGTGAGGAAAAGCTGATGGATACACAGTGTGATAGTCCAGTTGATTAACAGAGACTGGAAGGATGTATGTGCTATTGTTCCTTTTTAGGTGGTGTTTTATTGTCTTGTGCATGGCAAGTTGTGCTATTATGTTATATTTTGTGCTTTAATTAAAGTGCTATGTGTTGTCGGTATTGTATGTTCTCATACAATGACAAAATTAGTTACCTGCATTCAACCCATCACACGTGAGATACACCCAGTTGGAGCAGTGGGCAGCTAGATGATTAAAAAAATAATTTTTATATGCCCGTCGAACGCAGACGTATCATGATATAGTGTCCGTCCATACACCTGTAATCGTTCTCTTGTCCCACCTATAACTTCTGGTCCGCTCTAGATAATTTCACAAATTCAAACACATTTGCATCATCACGGAGTGTCGCGTACACTTTCATCACCCAAGCTCTAGCATCAAGATCACAAATTAAGGTCAAAGGTTAAACAAGGTCTTTGCTTGTATGGGTCATTGCACTAAATTGCTGTATAATAGTGCAGTGTGAGGTACTCTGGTTGTGTTTGTCTTTGGTTGACCAAGAATAGATGTTCCTGTTTTTAGGGTTTAAAGCTTCACTTCCTGTGATGCTGGTCACTTCTAGAGCAGTGTGTAAACGAATCTGCAGTGGAAGAACAAATGAAATGTTTTCTGAAAAGCAAAATCTGTTTTTTTTTCTTTCTTTTAGGTTTTTAATGCACATTTAGCAGTCACAAAAACAAATTATTTCAGGGTTTTGCCAGCATTTGATCCTATGTTTGTCTTTTTAAATGAAATAAAGATGAATAGTAACAAAAAAGGTTGAGAGAGTCAAAGAAAGAGTTACAGAAAACGCAAGCTATACCAAATCGGGAGCTTTTTCTAATTGATCTGAAATGGTGGTGAGGGGTAAAGGTGTCGAGATTAAAAGGAGCTCCCACCAAAGGCCTAATCTTTTCATGCAAGGATGTGCTGTAGGTTATCTACTTTCTGCTAAATGTATGAGACATTACTGAATAGGCTAAAAAAAGGATATTTCTGCATGCAAAAGCACAGAGAACGTCCATCTGTCAATTTCTGCTTTGTAATTCATATTATGAGAGGTCATACACTGTGGTTGGTGGCACACTGCTGCAAATAGAAACCATGTTGCTCTTCAATGGTTGTAAAAACTTTTACATCCTGCAGCGGACTGGTTGCACACACCATCCAGTGTTTCAAACTACTCCTAATATTTGTACACTTTGCTTCTGCGCAACCGTGTTCTCTTGTATTTTTAAAAGTGGTCTTCAAGTTTTCTGGAGGTCTTTTTTTAAAGTTTTCTTTAGCCTTTGGCAGCTTTTTAACCTATTTTCTTTTTAGTCCTTCTACCTGGCCATGACACTTTAATGGTGGATTTATTTGTTCTTAGAAATGATAAAAGTGGTCGCATAAAGGACAAAAGGGAAAGTGTTGGGTCTTTAATTATTCACAGCAGATGAACAGGATCTGAAAATCATGTCTTTAAGAAATAGGAAGAAATGATTCAGTCAAAATCTGACACAGAACCTGAGGGATGTGCATGTCAAACTCAAGAGCCATGGGCCAAATCTGCCCCCCACCAAGATGATAATTTAAATGTAAAAAATTGGCAGCTGGCTAACGTTGAAGCCAGAAATAAGGTTGGATCATTCTGTTATTATTGAGTCTGATGTGGAAAGACTTAAGAGAACATCAAGTGAGACAGATCAAACTCCTGTTCATGAACCAACAACCAAGAAAAGATACCTGTATCTGACTCAAGTTAATGTATCAGCTGAAAGTGGCCCGTGCCTCGGACAAAGTGTTGAAATTTTGGCTCTTATTTGTAACTGAATTCGACACATGGATTAACTGTATGACAAGATTTTAGTTGATAGATTTTTATTTATTTATTACCTCGTTGGTGATAAAGTACTGTTTTTGCATCAGACTGTGTCAGCTTTTGTGTTATTTTTAGTTTTTTTCATAGATTCAGCTTAAGAAACGAGAACAAATTGTGTCTTTGTGACAGGCTGCTGTTAATAAAGCGCCACTTTAAAACTGAGCTTAGGGGCCTTTTTATGTCTGAAAGATTTCATTAGTCAGTGTTAAGTGGCTTAAACAGCAAACATTCCTCTGAAAATGGTCACATAAAAGGACTGAACAGGAAAAAAGTAAGAAGTCGAGCTCCAAAGGTAAACTTTGAAAAAGTTCTAGATAGACAAGAAACATACATTGACTGAATAATTAAAAGAAACTAGCTTCTTGGAAGAAATGGGGCTGGATGAAGATTTTTGCACAGGACCGTATGTCTTCATTGCTGCACCATTATGTGGTGATTTCAGCTTTCCCTTACACACATAGACCTTTTCAGCCCTGTGACTACTCTCCCTCCACCTCAGGGAGGAAAATGCAAAGGTTCAACTTCAACCCCACATTCTACCTCGATTATTTCACATGACTGTATTCATGGAAAAGATGTTGCAAGGCTGCCTTGAAAGTATATAAAATGTAAAAAAAAAATATATATATATTCTTGAAGGCATTAAAGAAAGCTTAGAAAGACCAAATGACACATTTAAATCAGTGCTTTTCAAAAAGTTTCCCTATTTATTTTGATCGTGACGTGTCTGTTTCTGAAGATGTAGCTTCATAATAGATGGGATGAAAATTGTTTTATTTAACAATATCGTGATAATATATTTTTTTAGGTTTTTGTAAGTTCCTTGAAAATGAATCCTAGGAGTCAATGATGTGAAAAAAAGTATGCATAAATTTCCTTTATGTCTGCAGACTGATGAGCCGGTGACAGGAGGAGACAGTGCCAGCGAGGTTTCTGTCTCTTGCTCCTCCACGGACGACACGGCCAGTGTTGGCCCGTCCAGTTCCAGTCCAGAGGGCAGCCAGGGCCTGGGCTGCAGCTGGAGCCCAGAAGAGAGCATCCAGACTGGGGTAGCAGCCACTGCAGGCCTGGACAGGGGTGGCAGCGGAGGGGGAGGAGCAGCAGACGCTGAAGAGGAGGCAAAAGACAGAGTGACCGAGGTGCCGCAGCGGTCCTGCATCTTCCAGCACAGCATCCGCTCGCTGTCGCCCCTTCGTCGCCACAGCTGGGGTCCAGGAAAGAACAACGGAGGAGAAGCAGAGATGAACCAGAGGAGGTGAGAGATGAATCTTATAATTTGAGTTTAGTTTATTAAAGAGACATTCATTCTTTTTTAGCCTAAACACTCACTGCTGATGCTCGTCTGTGCATGTCAGTGGACCATTGACATGAACATGTCATGATATGAACGTGGATCATGTTCATATCATATGTCAGCATTATTAAAGCTTGTTCCAGTCATTTCTTCAAAACCCTGTTGACAGTTTTGCCCCCTGCTGTGAGCAGCTGTGTTGCCATTTGTCTGACAACTGTTGGGAGCAACACAAAAGTCTGCACATAGATTTATATACTCGAGCTGAAACACATGCAACACACTCAGCAACACGTACAACAATTAATGCAACACAAACTGCCTGACGTTGGCTGCTCAGCACAGCAAAAACAAAATCATGACATTGTTCGTCAATAATAAAACTGATCTTTTAGAAATCTGTGTAATTGTTTTCCTGGTAGGTTTTTATTTAGGCGCTTGTAGAATTTATGCATTTTGTTTCAAGCAGTGTCTGTTCCACAAAGTTAAAAACAGAAAACAAACGCTTTAGAAAAGTCACATCTGTTTTTACAACATAAACAGGCTACTAAGTTTTAATATATTTTGTTTGATAGTGTTACTAATAACAAAATGAAGTAGTTTTAACCTGAAAGAAAATCATGGGACATTTGCAAAAACGCAGAGCTTTTTAATTGTTCATGAGGTTTCATAAATATAACAAGAAGCTAAAATTAAAGGTTAAACACGTCATCGTCATGGTTTTACCTTGACCTGTTTTCTGTTTGTTCAAATCCTAAAATAACGCTGTCCAGCAAAGAGCTTCTGGGAATCCTAGTTAAATGTGACATCTTTGTGATGCAGAAGGTTTTTTACAGACACAACACCTTTTGTTGATCATCATCACCCTCAGAGCCTGCAGGCTGCTCCGCTACAAGCAGAAACAAAGTATAAAGAAGTTAACGTAGCAGTTCTTGAAGGAAGGCATATCGCCGGCCGTCGTTAATGACAGAGTTTTAAACCAGTATTGTCTAATGGTGAGAAATGGCAAGAGTTCTGGCAAATGTAAGTAATGTATTCTGCATTCTCACGTGATATTGTGAGATCTTGTGAGATGTGATGGTGCTTGTTGTCTTCAACAAGTAATGCCAAAGTTTTAAGCAAAAATACTGCGCTGAGTGTAGCACTCATAGTTCATGTTGGGAATGATGCTCAGCTACCACCAGACCAAAGTTTAGATCAATATTTTTAAAAAAGAGACTTAATTAAAGCCATCTTTATATTTCCTAAAGTTAGTTGGCTGTGACGACCATTTTAAAATTGGATTGACTCCAAACTAAGTTACTAAGATGCACACCCACTGATTACATTCCATCCATCCATTATCATTACTCACTTCTTCTTTTTTGGGTCACTGGTGCCCGTGTCCAGCCATCACTGCGAGAGGCGGGGGACACCCTGGACAGGTCTCCAGTCCATCACAGGGACACGTAGAGACAAACGAGACAAACAACCATTCACTCTCTCACTCACACCTAGAGACAATTTAGTTACCAATCAGCCTAACATGCATGTTTTTGTTCTGTGGGAGGAAACCGGAGCACCCAGAGAAAACCCACGCATGCACGGAGAGAACATGCAAACTCCACCCAGAAAGGTCCTGGGCCGGGGGTAAGATTAAATTAAAATAGTACAGTGCTTCATACGATAATTTACCAAACAGAAAGACAACGTTTCAGACAAACAAACAGATATGGACAAAAACATTACGTCCATTTAGCCTTTGGCGGTCGTTGATATTTAACTAACTTGTGACACAGATGTGGGTTGAAATCTCAGAAACAAAAACTCCACAGCATGACTTCTTGTTTTATTAAAACTTTAAATACATTTGTGCTTTTTTTCTTAATAATTACAAACAAATTTGAGTGCTGGAGGACAACAAAAGATTAATAGTCTGACATTCGGATTAGGCCAGGATATACGTGGACTGATGCATTTGAAAGAGTCTGTCTCCATCTGTCAGGCGGCGTTAAGGTGTCAGGTAGATAAATTTGAAGCCATCAGTAGCAGCACATTAGCTTCACTTAAATAACAAAAATCCACCTACCAGCACCTCTAAAGCTCATTAATGAAATAATAAGTGTTTATGCTGTGACAAGCGGTCATGCTCATGGCTATTTATTGGCCCAGTGCATTAACTTCCCCTTTTTAACTTTGGAAGTTGGCAATGAGGAGAGATTCCTGAGAGTGACTGCTGCTGGCTCTGAAATGGTTTTTCCTCGTTCCAAACCAGTTGTTTCTCCATTTTTTTCCTGCTAAATGAAGCCAAATGGTTCCTGGCTTCATGTCTGTGTGTAACAGACAGGTATGTGAGGAGTATCTAACCCTTGGCCAGAAGGCAAATAATCGTTTTCCAATAAGTATTTATTAGTGGTCTTAGTTCTGAAGAAACAGTGTTGATCACATGCTCAAAAATGCCTTTTAATTCTGACTTTTTAAAAAGAAGCCATGTTCCCATCATCAGCTGAAAGAATTCATTCATCATGTTCATGCTTACATGACATCTTCTCAAATCCTAACTCGTTTCACCCATCCATCCACCACTTCCTGTTTCTGTTTTCATCACCTCCAGTTCCACTCGTAGCCCCGTTGAGAGGAAGCCGGCCTTTCACAGGAGAAGGTACTAATAAATCACACTTACCGAGACTGACTGGCTTCTTCGTGAGATGCAATGGCAAATTTATGCAGGTTTTTGTTGTAAAGCCCCTGCTTTTTAATATATGCTTGCTGCACTGCTCCTGCTTTCTGCTGCATCCCTGCAGGCATCGGCTCTGAAAAATGTTGCTCTCTTTTCACCCCTGTTGGAATGTGCATAAGGCGCTGTGGAAAAGAAAATGCTGTGGCTGAGGCTCTACTCTTTTATATTGCAGTGGTAATAACAAGAAGTCAAATGGAAAAAGAGGAGTTTACTTCCCGAGGCTTCGCTGTATTGCTAGACATTGAGAACAGACCTTTTTTTTTTCCCCTTATAGAGATTTTTTTTGACAAATCTAAAGGCGTCAGAAGTGTTTTGAGTTAAGTCCTGGAGGAGACAACTCAGAGCCACAGAAATAAAGTCAGAATGGAAGTTGTTCTAGCTGCAGAATGGCTTTGTTGACTTTCTAAACTGCACTTTCACCTAGAAAGAGACAGGGGGAGGCAATGATAAGGGAGCCTGGCTTTTCCTACACTTATCTTGATAGATTGAGCGGAGTTGTTTCAGTTCTGTAGACTGATCCAAACGCTCACGCTGGACTTTTAAAAGTCGCTGATTTTGTGAAAAAAGTCCTGCATTTCATTGTTTCTCTAAGTTTTTGTGCTTGTGGGCGGTGAAGGTTGTTAGACCACGGGGTGGGGTAGACAGGCAATCAACGACACAAAGAATGTGTTTATTTTAGTTTTATAATTACAATATGCATTTCACAGCTGCTACCAGTTTTATCTACAATATGTGTGTGTGTGTGTGTGAGGTTTGATAGGTAGAGCAGGTCCAGTTGTGAAGGGAACACTTCTCTACCCATTAACAGGTAGAGCTCTGCTATAGACTGCCACCACTGTCAAATATGGGCTCTGGTATCATTTTAAGACCAACCAAAACCCATCATCTAAGATCATACTAGAAAACAAATACCATAATTGTCGGACATTAGAAAGCACCTGTCCCTAAGCTGCAGTTATTAAATATGATATAAATCATAATTTTGTACATAAATAAGATGCTCCAGTTATTTAGCCGTGGGCATCCATCGCTCACCGTCAGAATCTGTGCCTCCAGACTGCTTCGGCATAATGTGCAACTTTCTTGTAGTACAATAATCAGCCAGCAAGTGAAGTTTCACAGAACATAGCTTGCTTTCAACACACACACTCAGACTGCAAGGTCGTCACGTCTTCATGAAGCTTCGCTGTCTGACTCATGGTTACAACCATTATACCTTCAAAATGAACACAATAACTATCTAAGCATAATCACTGGACAGAACAGTGCCAAACGCCTACGGAACTGAAATTATTAAAAATTATTGACCAGTAAAACCCAGTCTGATCTAGGTCATGTGACCGGAAGTCAAATAGTACCGGTAGAATGTGGTAAATATTCATTAAATTAGTACCTTTGATTTTTATTGGTAAACACTTTTGTTAACAACTGCTGTTTTTAAATGTACTTTGTAAATAAATTTGACATTTTTTCTGCTCAGCAGAGCTCATGAGGAAGAACAGCCCCCTCCCTCCTCGTTCTTGTTTTTTTTCCCCTCCCGTTGTCTCCTCCGGTGTTTTACAATGCCCGTTTAAGCTTAAATGAGATACTGGTATTTAAACACATATTACATACAATTTTTTTTTTTTAACTTTTATTTAAATATGTACCAGTCGTGACTTACTGCTTTAAAAATAAATCTGACGACTTGTCCACCGCTATGCTCTCATGGATGGAAAGGGGAATGGGGATGTCTCCTTTCTCTGCTTCATGTTCGGACGTGACTTTAAAATGAGATCCCGGTATTTAAATGCAAATTTACCGACACAGAAATAATTTTAAAGCTTTTATTAACACATGTACCAGACGTGACTGCTTTTGCATCTCCAATCCTGACCATCGACACACGTTGATGCAAAGCTTACGGGCAGCAGCTCTGTTTCCTCCTCGACAGCTGATCGATCGCTTGTAACATGAAAGCTGCGTTATAAGAAATTCTCCGTGCGTTTTCCATTATCACTGAACAAATGAACAGGTCTGTGCATGAAGCGCAAAATACAATTAACAACATGGCAACCATCTTAAGAAATTAATTCATGTCTGTCTTATGGGATGGTCTTCGAGAGTACCTCAATGGTCATTCAAGTTGAACTTCTGGTCACATGATGACAGAGTGGGTGGAGTTATGGTTGGGAGGTTGTGTACATCTGATTACCTGAGGACATTCTGTCCGTGTCACAAACACCTGCTCCCATGAGGTGCGGGTGCTGGGAGCCACGAGCGCCCAGCTCTGTGAACGTAAAATGTTTGTCAAAGGCAGGAAGCTCCCGAGAGACGGCAGGAAGTCCTTAAAAATAAAATAGAAATATATAAATTTTGAGTATTAAGAAAGAAATACATAAATAAGATGCTCCTGCATATAAACCGCAGGGTACAAAGTGTGAGACAAAAGTTGCGGCTTATACAACGGCAATTATGGTACTATACATTAAAAAACAAAAATAACAAAAATTAGACATCATCCTGTTCAGATACCCTTTATGATCACCTGATTTAAGACATGTATAATCATAAATATAAATAACAACAAAACAGCCTACAGTTTCTGTAAGAACCAGATGAATCAAAGCTCTTCTGTGGTTTATAGAGGGGGCGGCACCCCCCACCCAGGAACATGCTAAGAGAAGTGCTGCATTTGTTACTTATCTGACAATGCACATCCTGGTTGATCCAAGTGATTTGGATTTTCTTGCTAAAAGATTTGCCCAAACAACTTGTTTGACTCTGAAAAAAAGCCTAAATGAAAAAAGAAACTACAAAAGAAGACGTTAAAGCAGCATCTTTTCTTAACGTATGCACCTTTTTTATCTATAGAATTTATATGTTAACATATCTGATAAGTTGGTGTCCGTAGCTTGACATCATCTAAAACAGCTTTTTTTTTTTTATTAATTTTGATTAATACAGTTTTTGACTTGGATATTGTCCGAGTGGGAAGTGTTTTTTTTAAATCACAAATCTCAACCAAACTATGCTTCTGTTTTTTGCCACTTGTAGGGTGCCAAGTTTCCTGACAGAGTAGCACAATAGCTGTACTTGCGTTTTAATAATAGTTAACAACACCAGCCATCCACCCTATTTTTCATGCTCTAAATAAGGCATGTCTTGTAGTGTAAAAGGCCACCGCTGTAACCATCTGGCCACATCTGCCACATGGAGGAAACAGCAGCTCCAGCAGTGCTTGCAGTATTCAGGTTATTGTGCTGCAGTTTCTTTTTCTGGAAAACAGCTTGGGTTCAGTTTGATTTCCTGCATGTTCCTGGCACAACAAGAACTCTGCAGCAGGAAATAAACGGAATAAATTGACCAGGTTTTGGTTTCACAGTGGGAAATAAGATGCAGGACGGTACGTCCTCTTTGTCATTATCCCCAGACGGTCCTGGTCTTGTGTCATCGCCACATCCTTCTCCTTTGGCTGCCTTGTTATCCTTGCTTGTCCATCATTTTTCTTTATGTCCAAATCCCATATCCCACCCCCACGTCCCCTGTTAGTTTGAGCTGGCGTCCTCCTGAAGCCCCTTACTTCAGCGACGTAACAGTAGTTGGTTGTTGCAGGTACAATATGGTGCTGTGTGTTTGGTGTTCCTTTTTTTTTTGCTGTGATCATATGACCCTTTTTAAAGTAGTGCATATTTACAAGCAGCCTCATTTGCATTAGCCGTTGTTGTGGGTGTGTTTTTTGTGTGTGCATGAATACCCTGACAGTCAGTCAGACAGTTGGTGGCTTTCTACTCTACAGCAGAGAGCTGCAATCGCTGCAGGTGGTATTCAGAATGGAGGACTTTCAGGCTCTGTAGGGTGAGTATGTAATAACACTGCCAGGAAGGAGGCTTTAATATGACAGATACAGCCGTCTGCGCTCCCTGAGGATTGGTGAGCGCTGCTCCACACTGGTCACTGATGATTCTTTTAGTCCAGTCTTAGTTAGCGATGCTTGAAAGTGTTGGGATTGATGATTTGCTGGATAACGGCATGCCACGCAGACCCAAAGAAAAAGGAGATTTACTGCAAAGCTTGGACCATGAGCGAGCCTGTCCTCAAGCCGATAAAGCTGCAGCTTGGTAGCATATCTCATTCTGAAATGTAGCAGTAGTTTTCCTCCCCATAATCATTGCATTGGATTTTTCAAGGCCTCTTATTCCCGGTCATAGATCCATGTAATTGGGGCTGTAAATCACAGCTGCACAGCTCTCTGTGCTGATGCTGATGTTGGAAGTCATTCACAGCTGCTTCAGCTGTAAATCTACCCCAGAGGCTAGCGATGGCTCAGCTGACTAAATACTGTGCAGGACCAGCTTTGTGTGTGTGCGTGTGTGTGTGTGTGTGTATGTCAACAGGTGCATGCATGCATGTTTGTGTGTCTCGTTACAACGGTTGTTGTGTTTGTCCAGTAAGAAGAGCTGAATATCTCAGAAAAGTTGATGGCGTCTGTGTACAGAGTCCTCCTGTCTTTTTCTCACTCTTGTCCTCCTGTTTGTTCATGCAGTTACAGCTTGGAGGGACTCAGCAGGGTCCAGGAAGAGCTGAGGGGCTCCATCATCCAAGGGCCCCATGTCCAGGAGCCTTGGAGGATGCCCCGACATGACAGTGATGACAGGGTCTCCCTGGTTTCTCTGACAGAAGAACAGGATGAACGGGAAGAGCAGAACAGGCTACATGACCCAGTAAGCTGAGACACACACACACACACACACACACACACACACACACAAACAACTTTGTTCTTTAGAGCCTGAATTTTCAAACATCCTCAGCCCAACTCATGAGAGGAGTAATCTATCAATAAGCAACTCTCACATACAATCATGACAGCTTAGATGTGTGTGTTTGTGGATTGATGAGTTAATAATCATCACTGTCCTCAGTTTTATTCTGCTTGTAGGTTGCCAACAAATCGTGAACATAACATCACAAACCAAACATCCAGTTTCCTCTTTTGTTGTTGATCCTTCCTGTTTCCTATTGAATGCTGCTGTTTGGTTCCATTTTATCTCTGTCCGCCTGCCTCTGCGTCCTCTTTTTCATTTCTGTGCACCCGATTTGATGAAACTTTGTGTCTCGTGGTGCAGAAATTAAGGCGGTACCGACCTCTGCGAAACAGCTGCCCGTCAATGACCCTGCCCCTCACCAAGTCTGTGTCCATGGTCGCCATCAGTCATAAAGACATCGATGGTGAGTGCCTGTCTGAATGTTTGCCCAGTAGTTACAAATTGAGTTAAGTCATTTTCTGTAACATTAGACCTCTAGACTTTTACTAGTTGATTTCCTCTTTTATTTTTATTCATTAAAAGCTTGTTTAGTCATTTAAAAGTGTAACATTTTAAATAGGGCTCGTCTTTCACCTCACCTAGAGTGAGCAGTGGGGACACACTCAGAAAGTACTTGATGCCATATTTAAGAGTTGTAGTTTTCCTTACGTCTAAAACCAATAAAGAAATGCCTGCAAGAGAAAGAATATTAGAGAGTCAGTCAGTCAGATTCTTTATTGTCCTTCCACCACTTGTGGTACATGTGGTGGAGCGAAATTATGTACACAGGGTCCCAGTTACATCAAACAACAAAATGTAAAAGTAAAACAATGATAACATCTAAGATATGAACTAAGAAAAACATGAACTAAATATACACTAAGCACTAATAGCATAAAAACATCACGTCGAACATCAGCACAAACCTGAACACGAGTCCGTGTAAGCAGATGAGCACGCATGAACACACCGACATTGAAACGTATCAGCAGCGACATTAAAACGTATCAGCAGCGACATTGAAACAGATCAGCAGCAACATTGAAACAGATCAGCAGCGACATTGAAACAGATCAGCAGCAACATGATGTGATTTTTTTCACATTGATTATCCTGGTTAGAGATTCATGAGTCTAACAGCCTCAGGGTAGAAGCTGTTCCTCAGTCTAGTGGTTCTACACTTAATGTTCCTCAACCTCCTTCCTGAGGGGAGCAGGACCAAAAGTGTGTGTGCTGGGTAAGTGGGGTCCTTCATGATGCAGGTGACCCTCTTCCTGCATCTGGAGGTGTAAATGTCTGTGATGGTGGGGAGACTGACTCCAATAGACTTCTGTGCAGCCTTCCCCACTCTCTGCAAAGCTTTTCTTTCTGCAGCTGTGCAGCCTCCATGCCACACGTTGATGCTGGAGCACAGGATGCTCTCCACTGCACACCTGTAGAAGGAGGTGAGGACTGAGCTTCCCAGACCAGCTCACCTCAGCCGCCTGAGATCAGACTGGTGGTGTTGTTGCTCCAGCTGAGGTTGTCATCCATGTACACCCAAGTACTTGTAGCTGGAGACCACTTCCACCGCAGATCCTCTTATGTTCAGGGGAGTGTAGGTGTGTTTGTTCCTTCTGAAGTCCACAATCATCTCCTTTGTCTTCCTCACATTGATGTGAAGGTTATTCTCTTTGCATCAGCTCTCCAGGTGTTCCACCTCTTGCCTGTAGCTGGACTCATCATTGTTTGTGATGCATCCCACCACCGCTGTATCATCATTAGCCCCCGAAAGATAAAAAGGAGATTGAGTAACAACTAGTAGAAGTAAAAGGTTGATTTGTACTAGGTGTTATTACAGCGGGTTGCAAAAGCATTCACTCACACTGGCATTCTCTTTGTGAGAGAAATAAAATAAAAACTATAAATGAAAGACACCGTTTGCATCAGTACAGCAGCAAGTCTCTTCTGATATGTCTCTATGAGCTTGGCTCACCAAGCTACGGGAGTTTTTGCACATTCATGACCAAACTGCTCCTGCTCCTTCAGGTGAGGTGGGCCCAGCTTGTGAACATCAGTCTTTACACCAAACGACTAATTCTCATGTGGAACATCGTCTGAGCCATTACAGCACATCATATTTCCTGTAACTGACCAGTTACTGCCAATGAAATATATACCCACTGCATAATGCTGCCACTATCATGCCTCACTGTTGGGATGGTGTTATCAACACAATGAGAGATGTTAGGTTTGCACCAAGCATGGTGCATGGTCGAAACAGTCCATTTAGGGTCATGTGACCACAGCTCCTTCTTTAAGCTGTTCTGGACGTTTCCAGTTTGCTTTTGGGCATATTGCTTTGTTGTTGTTTTTTTGGTTGTTTTGTTTTGTTTCCTTTTTAAGCAATGGCTTTTCCTGGCCGTGCTTCCATGAAGCCACACTCTGTTTAAGTGGTTCTATGAACAGATGCGTCAAACTCTGCAGAAGAGCTCCCCGACTTTGTCGTGTTCATCTTCGGCCTCTTGGTAGCCTCTCTGATCCATCCTCTCCTTGCCTGTTCTGTGAGACTTGGAGATCATTTGATGTTTAGATCGCTCACAAGTGAATCACCTTCACTATTCACTTCTTTAAAGTCTGGTTTCTTAACTATATTGATCAGGAGGATTTTGTTTAAGTTTACTACTTATTTTTAATCTAAAAACATTTTAATTTCCCAACTGTGAGGTTCCAGGAGGGGTGAATCAGTTTCAGTCCACTGTATGAAAAAACACCTGGTTATCTTCATTTTTAATTATCAACATGCTAGCTGAGCTTTTTTTTTTTGAATGACCCCTGCCTTGTTGTGGTTCTTTCCTTGCTGCCACCTTCCCCCCCTCAGCGGTGGGACGTCTGAGACGTAGGAGGCGAATTTCATTCTCTTTCAACCTGTCGCCCATCCTCACCAAATCTAAATCTCAGTTCGTTTATGGAGACACTTCGTCAAGCGATGATGAGGATGACTCGAGTAAGTACAGAGCTTTAAACCCAATTAAAGAAAAACTAGATCCCGTAATAAAACCAGAACAGTAGCGTTTCCTAATAGAGCCTTAGATGCACCACCCCCTACCTCCCTCATGGCTGCAGCTCCTCTTGCTATGTGAAAAGAAACATGACTCATCGTGCTGAGGTGTGACCCTCAGTGCAGCCAGGTGGTTTGTGTTGTTGTCACATGACAACCTTCAATATAGTCGACACACCCAGATGTAACAAAACGATAATTGGACTGATGTCCCCACCTGTGGGGAAACAGACCTTTACCTCTCCTCTTTAAAGAGAGAGACATTCAGATTGTTCTCTGTAAACTTCCTTCAGTCACCTGATTTACTTTATTATTTGTAATGATTGACCTCTCCACTGCAAAACTGCACGAATTACAAACAATACTGAAGGCGGATAAAACCAAACTGATTCATCACAACAGACTTATCGTGAAGCAAGCCACTGATATTTAGCTGTTGTCAGTTTTATTAGTGTTTTAAAATATATCTGAAGTAAAACGGCTAAAAAAAGGTTTTGTTGTTTAGCTTTGGCAGCAAGCTTTGTGTTTATTGCTTCTATTTGCCTCATTGAATAAAACCTTGGCTTCTCCTGTCCCCTGTGCTGTGCAGCATTACCTTTGTATAAACTGGTCTTTCTGCAGTCTCATTGCAAAAACTGTCAAGAATATAACCAGCAAAAAAATAAGAAAAATATAATAAATAGGCACCGTAGTGAGTCTTGAGGAGAGATGTGAGCTTGTCACATTTAGTCAAAGACGTTGAGCCTTTCTTTTCCTCCTTTTATTCGGGAGATATTTAGGAAATATGCATTGACTGTTTTGTGTCTCACGTTGTCTTACTTTGCTTTTATTACTTTGTTTGACTTTATGATGTAGAGCTGACTGGCAGTGCTGAGTGTATTTTCATGTGCTTCTAAATATTGAGAAGGAGTGATTGTTTTATAGAAAGCTCAACGTTCCTCTCATAAAGATGCTTTATAATTCACCCTGTGGTTACCATGGGGTTAAAGACTGTGGTGTATCGTTTAACTAGTTTTTCAGTTTAATATTTTTATATTCATAAATGACTCAACTACTGGAAAATAGCTATTTCAACCTGGAAGAAGAGCATGAATAGAACTAACCAGTTTCATCCACCTGGATGAACAACCAAAAGGGGAGGTATGTTATATAAACAGGTGATGACAATTAGGGGTGCACCGGTAAATCAGCCGGACCCAATTTCCTTAATTTTGGGTGCTCGGCCGATACATGATAAACTGATTTTACAGATTTTTTTGTAGTTTTAACAATTGTCTAAAGTTCATTTATATTTCAGAGCACTACCTCATGGCCAGTTAAAACAAGTTTGTATTGTTTCTAGGATATTGTTCAAGGGTGTGTTTTTCATTTAAATAAGATTGGAAAATTGAAGCTGCATTGTGACTTTATAACACCTGACAGTGCTGCTTATACAACAATATCGGTATTGGCCAAAATCAGAATCAGCAGGTCAGGCTTTTTAGAGATCGTGATCAGTGATTGACCAGAAAACTGCAATCGGTGCACCCCTATTTACAATATATTTTACTTGCTCAACAAAGATGTATTGGATTTATTTTGAAATTTCCATTTCATGCTGTAGGGATTTGTAGCTCTGGACTAAAAGGCAGTTGTGCCTCAGTCACCTGGTTATGGAGCTGCCACAGTTTTATGAGGGTTCCTAAAGGAATCAAAGCTCTTTCAGAAGTTTTAAATGTAATTAGTCTTGTCCTTGCCAGATCCGTTCAGCTTGGACATGAATTGATCACCTCTGATTGAGCTTTGGTATTCAGTGAAAAATGAGATGGTTGTTTGTTTGCTCGTCTCCACAAAATATATATTTGCCTTTATAATTTAGGACTTAAAACAGGGGTGTTCACAGTGTGACCCAAGGGCCATTTGCGGCCCTTGGAGTGATTTTGTGCGGCCCACAACTGCAATTAAAGAATGATATAATTTAGACCACAGGCTTAAGAGGCTGATGCAGATGTATCCTCTTTAGATTTAATGGTGATACTTTATAATATTAGGTTTAACAGCAAAAAAGATTAAAATAATCTTCTCTAAATGAGCTAAATTAAGTACAGTATAAATATTTAGCTATAATTAATCTCTTTATCCTACAACAAACCTTCACTGACCTGCCATAAAGTAGAATTTTAGATAATTTATAAAACTTGGTTAAATATAGCAAGTGTTTTCAAAGAAAATAATTTCAGTTGAGTTAATAATCAATAGGGAGAAATTGGACATTTTTAAAGAAATATAAAGTATCATCAACATACAAGTTGATCAACTTTATCATTGTTCCTTCAAACCTTCCATCAATCTGTTTTAGTGACTGACAGCTGTTTTTCAGAACTTCGATGACCCATTTGGGCCGTCCATGGTCCAAACAGGTGATTTAAGTTCCACCCCCTTTTTTTTTCTATTTTTTTAAAGAACTCATTTTAGGCTTTTGTCTATGAAAATAAACAAAAATGAACTTTCAAAGCACAAGAAAACAAATGGAGTCCCAAAAAAAATCTAATAAATTAAATTCTTAAAAAAGGCACGAGTTTAATGTTTATGAGGCTCCTAATGTTCTGGAACAACAAACATTTTACCTAAACTTTTAACCTTTCTCCAAAATATTATTCAAGTTGTTAAAATAGAGGAGAAAAAAAAAATCATCCTTTAATTTTTTTCTTAAATTCAGATATTTCTGGCCCGCAAGTCCTTTCATCTAGACAGTTCTGACCCACCTATGAAACGTTTGGGCACCACTGACTTAAACTACACCTGATGTCACAAACAAGGACAATTAGAAAAACAAAAGTCCCTCTCTTCACTTCTTCTCTTGTTTCTTTGCAGGCACGAGGTCATTCTCCAGCAACTCTGGGTCCGTAGCATACAGGTCAGTTCAGCTCGTACACATTACTGGAAAATGACTCTTTAGGTTCTCGCTGCCGTAACAGCTTTTATAGTCCTATAAAGAACAGTACGAAGAAGCAGTCGACTGGCTTCTTAGGACAATGGCGTCTTTATGGCGTCATAAAGCGCTTGTTTCAGAAGAAGTGAGCAGGTATGTTTTGGGAATGCAGCTGTTAGAGTAACATTAAGGTGTGTGTTTCAGTATCTCCGAGGAGGAGCCTGGGCCTCTGCGGAGCGACACTGAGGGCAAGAACGTGACAAAAGTCAGCCGGACCTTCAGTTACCTCAAGAGCAAGATGTCCAAAAAGACAAGGGTGAGGCAGCATGGGGCTTTGCAGCTCCCTGAACACACTGGATGTTTCTGTGAATATCTGTTTTATCTAAATGTGTTTTTCATGTTTGGTGTGAAGGCTTTGCTGTGTTATCTTGAACCCTGGCCACCTTCTGCAACCTTTTCACCAACCATGCATCCCTTTAAGAGAGAACGAAGCAGCTTTTTCCTGCTCACGCTGTACATTTACATTCAGACTGGGATGTAGCCTTTCCTGCTGGCCTCAGAGCAGCCTGGGTCCAGCAGCTGCTGGTTCCATGTCTTTGCTTTAGGGCTTGTAACTTCCTCCATTCAGACTTCCCCTGCAGGCTTGGTTTGGACTTCACAGCAGTTTCTGCTCAGAAATATGAATCTGTTGTAGGACAGGCTCAAAGTCATCGTTTCTCAGAGGAAAACTACAACCATAGCTGGACGGGTTTTATCTGTAACAACACTGCTGTGATGTGGACATCATGGAAAGTAGCTTTTTTTAAACACGGGTCATTATTATAATTCAGAATTAAACTTGTCCAGATTTAGGCTTTTAAACTTGGCGTATCTTCTCATCTATAGAAGTAAAAAGTGTTTCATTAGCATTTTTAAGCTGTAAAATCATGGTGAATGAAAAATGTACATTACACGGCTATAAACTCTTAGAGACCGTAAATATTCCCACATGAGGCTGTTCGTCTTTTTATATAGTGTGTCTGTCAGCACTGTTTGCTACCGAGAATCTCACTGACCTGTTCTGGGCAAAGGTTAATTTGAGTAAAACCGCAAGTCATGCTTTTTACTAGTTTTATTATTGTCTGAATTGAATAAATATCAGTTTCTTTAATAAGAAAGTGTTATATGTAATAATACAACAAATCTGTAAAAACTGATGAAAAGCCTATTGTAATGTGTTTATATGTGATCTTAAAACATCGTGAAAACATTTTTAAATGTCCACAACAACCTTCCCGTTAACAGAAACGCCTCTGTCCTTTCTGTAAAACACACCACCCTTGCAAAAAGATACTGAGGGGTGAACAGGAAGTAAAACCGGAAGACTGAGTTGGCTTTGGTTTTCTAATCTCTTCTCTAAACAGAGCCATGGTTTTGTTTTTAAAGTGACAGAAATCTAAAAAATAATTTAAGAAAAGGGTCTGCAGTCTGTAGGTGGTGGCTGCCTGGTAAAGTTTAGAAACGCTAGCTGCAAACAAAGCTTAAAAGTGTTAGACAAAGTTGTTTGGTCGTAAAAGCCTGTTGTCAGTGTCACTGTCCGTCTCTTCAGTAATAATTCTTCAACCACAGACCATCAACACGCTTCTTTATTTGATTTACTAACCTTCATACCATGAGTGATTTCAGTTTGCTCATTGCTTTAAGTGTGCTGTGTCACACAGTTATAGTGCGTGGTGGTGGGAGAGGATGTAGACTGTGCAGTTTTGTCACAGCGCCTGTACGACTGAGGGGTCATTGCAGAAAAAGCGCCTCCTGTTGCGAGGCAGCCACTTCCTCTTTGCGGTGTTCCTGACGCAGCCTCGGTGCTGCTCGTAGCTTCAGCTGCTTGGCCGCAGCCCGGGATGTTATACGGGAGATTCACAGGGGGCCATGGCTTCTCGCTGAGAAGGAAAAATGGGCTGGAGGTAGGAGAAAATGGTACTCTGGTTTCTCAGTCACATTACAAGGGAAGCGATGGTCACGGTTAAAGAGTTCCTTTTTCGGGGTAACGTCTCTTTCCAGTGAAGTCACCGCCTGCTAGACCATGTTACGCTAGAGCGTCTCTTTGGTTAAATCTCTGTAGTTAGATGTCATGAGTAATTACGTCTCCCATTTCAAAACCTTGCAACCAGAAGTGGCTGACAGTCCTTTGTTTTTTTTTGTTTTTCCTGTAAGTTGGACTCTGAAAAATACCAAAAGTGACTGCGTTCAAAAACAATTTATTGCTCTGTTTTAATTCTTCAGTTAAGTTGAAGAGAACGTTTCATTGTTGGTGAGACGGTTTTTGCAGGAAGTGAGGCAGAATGCTGTAATGTGTTTGAAACATGGAATGAAACGTTTAGCTCGTTGGCGTCTTAAAACGGAGCTAAAGGAGTTTTGAGTATGTCAGAGCTTTGTGGTCCTCACAAACCAAGAGGCCCAGGGCTGGCCATTAAAACAAGCTGGAAAACTCCATTTTCCCATTTCCTCTGGGTTTGGGTGGAGGTTCTGTGATGCAAATCCAAAAGAATGAAAGCTCTGTTCTTCTCTGCATCACTTTATGGGATCGTGATTGAGCTCAGTGTGCGGGGATGACCAACTGCTGAGGATGAGCTCGTCCATTAATGCAGAAGCAGCAGAAAGACCGAACTGTTCTGGAAAGGTCAGAGATGCGATTCCCAGACAGTCTGTCTTCGTCGCAAATCACATACCCTGCAGATCGGTCCCTCTTTTGTTAACATACAACTAAATGATTAAATTAACTGCACTCCAAGAACTAAATCACATAAAAACATCTTTGTTGTAATAATGGTCACAAATGCATATTTACTCTTTGTTCAACTAAAGTAGTCCTAAAAATGATCCACATACAAGTCCCAGGCAAACCCCACAAAACAGTAAATATTTCTTTTAACGAGACACTTTGTTGTCAGCATATTTAATGCAGCTCTTAATATGCAAAGCCGTCCTACTGTGCAGCACATCAGAGTAATTATGTTACTCCGTGGGGTTCAAATTGAAATTTTAACACAAGCCACAGACTGAACGGTAGAACAGCGTCTGGTGCGTTCGGCCGTTCCACACAGAACCCCCGCTTCACCACGTGCCTAAGTCCAACTTTACTGTCGAGTCACAAGAACTGTTTCATTTCTGCAGGAAAAGGAGCGAGAGAAAAAAGACAAAGACAAAGAGGTCAAGGAGAAAGACAAGAAGATTGTGAACGGCCATCTCTTTACACCAGTCGCCTCGAACCAGGCCGCCCAGTGCTTCCAGTGCAATAAATCTTTAACTAGCAAAGATGTTGTGTTTTGCACATGTAAGTACTTTTTATTTTTTTTTTATTTTAGGCTGATTATTTCAGCGTTTACACTTTGCTGTTTGATTTTTATTAGTGTTAGATTTATATCTAATTAAGGACAAATGGGTTCTTTCTAGTAAATATGTCTAATGTGAACACTTGCTAAGCTATAGACACAGTAAAACTGAACATATATTTAAAAATAACTATTAATGTCCAGGTATTTTCACACAGTTCACCTTTTTATTCACAGATAGAGCTTAAT